AAGAGACTAGCTGCACACAAAGTGGGGGAAAGACATGTGGCGAAGGGTTACAAGTTATGTTGTGATGTCAGAGGGAGACCTGATATTTCAACTGCTGACCTAATCGGATCGTACATCTAATACAAAACGAAACGAGCAGGGTGGCAATTTGCGGTGGTGACACAGTTGGGGGTGGATCAAGCAAGTGGAAAGACAAGGCACACGATCAAGCTGCTTGACGTCGGAAAACACATCAACGTGAAGCTGAAGGAGAGCTCGCTAACAACGGATAATCTGGTGCAGCAACCTGGAACTTGGTGCTGGCATGCTCATGTTACCAACAAGTCCGTGAAGAAATACATGTTTGCACTGGAATTATGAGTGATTGGTAAGGATGAGATTGTAGCTGCAAGTAAGAGTGAGTGCAGGAAATATGGTGGGAATTGACTGGAACAGAAAGAAGAGTGAGGTATTGAAGGAGGATTTGTATGGAAGGAACTGTAGGCAACAGGCATGAGGATGACTTGGACAACAATGAGAAGCCTTTTGAGTGTACAACATGAAAGTTGAGAGCGAAAGGTTGATTGGAAGAAGATTGAGAAGGGTATCATGTCTAGTCAATTGACAAGTTGTTTATGTGGGGTTGACAGCATATCAAACAGGATTGTTGGGATCACGACTGCTGTAGATTGATGAAATGTAATTGTAGAAATGAACAATGAGACTATGCTGAGTTGGCATGAAAACGGGTATGCATACTGTGAGGAGGATCAAGGAGCAGTGTTGAGGATTGGGCATGAGGAAGATGTGTACATTTGTAGCAGATTGCACCTTCTGGATTGGTTTCTGTGTACAACTTATCGTTGGAGGGGTTGACACTGAATCAGGGTGGGCGAATGTGGTGCAATCGGGCCACTTTTCTTGGAACTGTGGAATTACCGGGTAACTGCGGTTTATAGTGTGGTATGGAACTGTTCAGGGCTGGTGTAAACTGAGTGCAGCCAAGCGTACTACTTGTAAAGAGAGCAGGTGGAAAAGAGCGGGAAATGTTTGAAAGGATACTGCACTATCGGGAGGTTGTGAGGCGGATTGGTATATTCATCGGGAAATAAGTTTGAGAGATTTGACAGGTCTTTGAGAGGATTGGATAGAATCTTAGATTATCGGAATGCAAGTATGGACTGTCAGCAGAGTTGCGTTGAGAGTAGGATTTTTGAAAAACTGTTAATCTGTCTCTGACTCTTTTCTATGATAAAGACGGACTCGCTGTGTGATATATATATGTATACCACCTTTTTTTTGGGGGGGGGGAAACGGTGAGACCACTCCCGTGTGCCCGCACATCAGCCGCATATACTCCGCACATATGCATAC